TGGTGTATGTAGGACAAGTTTGCCTGTCTTGGGAAATCCTTCATTGGCAGCACAGGAAAATCCAAGACTTATTCCAAAACGACGACGCTCGAGGCTCTCATCAGTACAACATAGTCGCCTCCGACTTTCAGCTTTTTCAAGTGCTACTTCAGCGATTCGTAGAGGATGAATCATTTCAAGGACCAAGAGTTCAAAACTACGTTAAGAATCGATGTGTTATTCGTAGCCTCATGCAAGTTCCCGCCATAAAAGGTATCGATAAATCGACAAGTTTGCATTTCGTGTTGGTGTTCTTTTTACTAATGTGCTTTTTTTAAAAAAAAAAAAAAAAAATGTATTTCAGATGATTGTGTGAAGGATAAGAAGTACTTAATGGAAGGGAATGAAGATGCAATTTTTTGTGAGACTTTGGAAAAAATCATTGTGGAAGCAATGTTTACATTCTGGGAATTTCTTCGGAAAGACGAAAAGAGCAATAACTTAAAGTTTGCTCAACAAACTGCGACTGACCCCGTTGACTCTAAGCTTCTGATGGGCATAAAGAAAGAATTTCAAAAGGTTTGCTTTACGAAGTCTCGTTCAGCTCGTAGATTTGAGTTGAGATATGATTTTATATGAGAATTTTTTATTATAGTAAAAATGTTAGATGTGATTTTTTATGAGAGCTTTTCATTATAAGAAAAAAATTAGATGTGATTTTTTATGAAAGCTTTTAACTGTTGTAAAATTGAAATTGAAAACTCGAATCCGTGAAATGAACGAAACCTAAAACTTTGACTAAGCCACTACTAGAGTAGGTTATGCCGTACAGTTTTTTATCACTACTGTAGAATTCACTGGCTAACTTATTTTTGTCTGTTTTTTTTTTCTTTATTTAAATTTGATTTTTTTTTTTTTTGGTTGAAGAAAGAGAGAAAGGTTAAGGACATACAGAGGAGTGGGAATTGTGTGGTGAAGAAGCTCCAAAAGCAGCAAGGAGGCGGGCTTCAACACGCATTGTTTTTGGCTCAAGTTGAGTTGAGACTTGTTTCAAGAGTGCTAAGTATGTCAAGATTAACTAGAGATCAGTTAATTTGGTGTCAGCAAAAACTAAACCAGATCGGTTTCGTTAACAGAAAGGTTCACATGGAAGCTTCGTTTTTGCTTTTTCCATGTTGACATTGTAACTAATATTCTGCCTCGGTATTTAATTTGCTCAATACAGAAATAATAACATTAGGTTTTGGATATAGCATTGGCCTAAACTTGTTTAATGAGGTATACACATTCAATAGACATGATATACATGTACAAATTTTATGAAGATGTTGCTCATTTTCAAGGATACCTTTTTTATTTTGTGTTTCTCATGATTTGCTTGTAGCATCGACTTCCTTCTGGCAAAAGGTCGCGGCTTAGTGAAGCTTCGACCATGCGCAACATTTTATTTTTTCATTTTTGGCATTTCAAAATGTTTCAATGCTGCAAACCAATGTTATTATGTACTAAATCTAACCAAACAAGGCCCGTTTAGTTCGCTGATTCGAGTTTTTAATTCGAGTTGAGATGTGATTTTATGTGAGAGCTTTTTACTGTAGTAAAAAAGTTAGATATGATTGTTTGTGAGAGCTTTTTACTGTAGCAAAACTCGAATTCTAAACTTGAATCAGTGAAATGAACGGGGTTAATTGTCAGGGGATGTTCTTTTGCTGTTTTTGAGTTAGGTGACTTGAGTGTAGATTTTGAGTTGAGTTTGAGTTATAACTTGAGTTGAACTTGTAACTTGAGTTTGTGTTTGGTTGTGTACATTTGAGTTATGGTTTGAGATAAGAATCTTTTTTGAGTTTGTGTTTGAGTGAGTTAAAACTTGAATTTGTATTTATATAGTATTTTAATAAAAACTCAATGCTGATGGAAAATTTTAATAAGGTATATGGGTGGGGTTTTATTCGTCTTTTTGTTGTCAACGCATAGAAAAAAAATCATCTCAATCAGATTTAAAACGAAAAAGTTATAGCATTTTTAAGAATATAAAAAATAATGTTCATTAATTTGAGTTTGAGTTTCTGAACTCGAATTAAAGGGGAAACTTGAACTCGAGTTTTAGTTTCAAACTCGAGTTCAAACTTAAAAGAATATGAATTTAAATAAAATTATAACTCGAATTATTTTTTTTGAGTTTTTGACTCAAAAGGGGGCTGCCATGTACTTCTTTCCTTTCCATTTTTTGTTCCACCCAAGCAAACACAACCTCAATGTCTTAAAACCAAAAAAAAAAAAAAAAAAAAGGTTAAAGAGTCACCTGGATTGATTGATACTTGATAGTAAAAGTTCCTCATGAGAAGGGCTTGAAGAAAGATATGATTGAGTTGTTGAAATCTGACTCAAAAAAGTTGAAGTTGTAAATATAATTGTGTAATTACTCCATTGAGAAATCTAGAGGAATGCCCCCCTCAACACAGGAATATTAAAATTTATGTCAATTTTGTCACTTTTTAAATAGTAAAAGATAAAAGATTTATATCCAACTTTCTTTTATTACATATCAATATGAGAACACCATAAGTTAAAAGAGAAAAAAAAAAAAAATCATATAAAACTAAAGAACCGAGCTAAAAAGGTGTTCAGGCAGATGCCCTGAATTTTCTCTATAAGAGTTGGCGACTTAAATCGCTCCAGCCCAGCAAAAGAAATGGGCCAAACTAGCGACAGACTGCTTAGGGTTCATCTGAACTTTGAGCCCATTTTGTTGGGCACTTACAAAATTAATTTTGATTATGAGACCAGGAAAAAACACCCACATTTTCAGGGGGGCAAAAAAAAAAAAAAAAAAAATCCACATCTTCACATAATAATAACAAAGTAGCAATAAGACTATAAGTTATAACCATGTGCAGAGACAAATTAATAAAGGTACCACTTACCAAGGTATGAATATGATAGTTGCTTTGGGTTGAAGATAGGATCTTTTAAGTATTTTTCATTTGTTTTATATGTTTATAAAACCTTTTCTTTAGTAGTTCTTAAACCATTTTGTTCCATCTAAACAGTAGATCTTTCAATGTACATACACAAGTAAATCAGACTCAATTTTGTTGAATCTTTTCATTATCATTAATCTTTCACGTAAAATATATTAGAACTTTTTTTTTTAATTTTTAATCAAAGTTAGTCAAGATTGTAGTTATTACTGGTAAGGAAAAATGCCCATTAGTGGAGAAACAAAATTTCCACTAAATCTTTAGTTTTGTTGGCCAACAAAAATGTTATCACAATATTGCCCCTATGTAATTGTCATAAAAGTCAATATAAATGATTAAACTCAGTTTGTCGATAACATGCACAACTAATGGTGACTGACAAGCCTCGTTCACTTCACTGATTCAAGTTTAGAATTCGAGTTTTGCTACAGTAAAAAATTCTCAGAAACAGTCACATCTAACTTTTTTGCTACAGTAAAAAGCTCTCACATAAAATCACATCTCAACTCGAATTACAAATTCAAATCAGCGAAGTGAACGGGTCCTAAATTTCTAATTAGTGGCCGCCAAAAGCACGAAAATTCGGCATTATAGGATTAAATCACCACTAAGGAGCTTATAGGTGAAAGCTTAGTGGCTTGAAAAAAAAAAAAAAAAAAAGGGGAACTACAAAGAATTTATTAATTGTGTGTGAGATTATTCTTGCGCCACTACAAGTCACTTTCAGCATCTTTTATTACGGTTTGTTAGGGATTTGATTCCTAAATATTCTTATTGGCAATAGTTGTTGTTGTGTTAATCTGAATTCTGTTTTGAAAAAAAACCTGAGCTTAAAGTTTAAATCATGTTTATCTCTTAATTACTTGGGTTTTGAATTATATATTTTTGTGAAATTAGATTCTTAATCTAATATTTATCTCTAGTTCGATTTTTGTGGAGTTAATCCTCGTGCTTAAATGCATCTAGATTAATTTTATTATTCTACTTATTAAGGAAGTTTTTTGGTGGTTATTTGTAGGATTTTGCAGATAAATTTCGAATTTGAATTGTATTTGAATTTGAACTAACAATTAACTTTGCATCAATTTTAGTGTATTAACACTATAAGCACAAATACTCTATCATGATGAAAAGACCATAAAATAAGTTCTACGCGATGTAAAGGTTCGAGATACTGTTCGAACTACAGTTTTTAAGACAATTGGAATTTTGAGAAGAGAAAATTCTGAAGATTTTGAGTTAGTGAAGTTCAAATTCAAAGCTGGATCTAGGATTTCATTATTTAAAAAAGATCACTCGCTCCATATTTGGCATTTAGGGGTTGTTTGGTTGGGAGATTCGTACCCCGATTTAAATCATAGTTTATGCTTCGCTACAGTATTTTCTCTCACAAAAAATACACGTAAATAAAAAATAATTCTAATCTTATGATTTTAATCCATGAACCAAATGTTTCATTAGCTTTAGCATGAGACAAATACCAGAGTTAGTTTTTAGGCTTCATTTATTGCGCACAAACTCTGTTTAGCTTTAATTGATCCTGAATAAGTCTAAGGAGGAGCTAAAGACGGATCATCATACTCAGAGTACACCAATTAGATCAAAGGCTAGCAAGAGGACTTTGAGTTGGATAAGCAGTCTGAAGATGAGTTAAGTAAGAAGGCTAGATATCTCATGGATTCTGTAGTGGTGGAGATGGGCTCGTTTAGTTCGCTGATTCGAGTTTTTAATTCAAGTTGAGATGTGATTTTATGTGAGAGCTTTTTACTGTAGCAAAAAAGTTAAATTTGATTGTTTGTGAGAGCTTTTTACTGTAGCAAAACTCGAATTCTAAACTCGAATCAGCGAAATGAACGGGGGACTTTCTTAAATTCCAATCATTGTAACTGTAATTTGATGTTTAGTAAAATCCTTATTTTTAACTAGTGTGATTAGAACCCATGGATTTTTCCCTCTTGAGATTTTGACCACATTAAAAAACCGTATTATTGTGTCATTTATATTCCGCGTATTTATTTTGCACAACAATTTTGTGTTATTGTTTTAACAGGATGTTTTCAAGTTGTTCTGTGTGTACAAAACACTGTTTTTAGTTTGTCTGATCCTGACACAGTTTTCACACAAGTAGAGATTTGTTTATATTTTTCATTCTTTTTTTTCTTTTGAAGATTTGTTTATATCTTTATTAACTTAGTCGATACGGCACAAACAAAATATAAAGAATTTTAGGATAAGATATGAAAAAATATCTTAGAATATTAGTACAACATTACATGAAAATCATTTTAAATTAAGAAACAATATGATAATTGAATAAAAATTGTTGAAAATTAGAGTATTCAAAACTATGATATTTTACGAATAAAGTATTTTTCTCCTAAATATATAAAAAATAATGAGTATGGTACTTTTAAAACTCCCAATTACTCCCATTATTGATTACTTAAATGAAAAGAAAACGAGACTTGTTTTAATTTAATTTGTTTTCCACCGCATCCAATATGCAAATGAACCTTGCACTTTAGGTGTGTTTGTTTCATGCGTTTAAACTCTTAAGTTTTATTCTGCAACAGTGTTTTCTTCTTACAAAAAATTTAAATTTTAAATGCCAAAATTAAAAATCACTAATTTAAACGCATAAACCAAACGAGCCATTTGTTACTAATCAGAGTGATCGAGTTCTAGACACTTATGCTTAGAGATGGTAGTATTCCTCATTGAGATAGAGTCCTCCGGAGCTCCACCCGGAAAAATGCAGGAATAGGGGATCATAATTGGTGATGGAGGTGGGGATGGGATAAAATCTACTCTATGAATCTTAGCGCGGTGGGGAGAAGGAAAGCACTCTCCGCCCTACCTCCATTCCGATATTCATATGAACATATATATTTGTGTAAATAAATAGATACTATTAACACTTAAAATATAATTAGTTCTTTTGTGACTTTATTCTTAAGAATTGGTTTGCATATTTGGAACTTAATTTATTTTGTGCAACTTTTAATTTTGGTTCAAATTTATATTGAATTTCTACTTTGTTTTTATTTTAAATTGTTGTAATTTTGAAATGCATTATTATGTTATATAAAGAATGGAGCTCTCATGGGAGAATCCCCAATTCCGACCTCACTTCTCCTTATGCGGCAAAGAGGGCGGGGATGGTGATGATTTCGGGGTGCAGGAATGGGAACGGAAAATCATTTCCTGCCTTACATCGTCCCATTACCATCCCCTATTTATGCTAGACGTTTTAATTAATTTTTTCCCTTTTTTGAGGGGGCTTCTTTCTTTTTTTCTTTTTTTTTTTTGAGAGGGTTGTTTTATTTACCTGGCTAGGTTGGGCTCATAATGCAAATATCCGCATTGTGCGTTATCTTATTATATAGTATGCAAGTAGGAAGTTCTTCTGATCAGCAACCAAAAAAAAAAAAACAAAACAAAACAAAAAAGAACTAGGAAGTCCTTTATGTTGAATATGCATCTTTCCAACTAGTTCTCATTACTTTTGCTTTTGTTGTGTGTGTCGCATTAATAAGTTAATTATTTAATGATGTAGATTGACGTTGACCTAGTAATGGATGTATAGTATATAGTTCATTCACAACGCTAGGAACTCCAACATGTTATCACCATAACATATTCTCTATAATGGCATCAACATGCCAAAAACCATTTGCCTATAAATTAAAACATGTAGAGAAATCACCAGAGAGAGGCACACACACAGAAACACAAAATGGAGCAGAAGCCAAATAGCGAAGTTGTGGTGTTTGGGACATGGGCAAACTCAATAAGCGGCAGAGTTGAGCTAGCCCTGAAACTTAAGGGCATACCTTATGAGTATGTAGAAGAAGATCTGGCAAACAAGAGTGAGTTGCTTCTTCACTACAATCCTGTCCACAAAAAGGTACCTGTCCTTGTTCACAAGGGCAGGCCGATTTTGGAGTCCCTTGTCATCCTAGAATACATTGATGAGAACTGGACTTTCCCTCCAAAGATTCTGCCCCAAGAACCTTTTGAGAGGGCCAAAATCCGCTTTTGGGCCAACTTTTATGACCAGAAGGTAAGGAAATTCTGTAAGTTTTTTTATTTTTATTTTTTATTTTTATTTTTTAAGGACCTTCATACACCGGCCTACTAGTAGAGTCAATTTTTAATCGTTAGATTTAGTCAAAATCACTTTAGATTAAAAAACTATGCATAATAGACAGCTTCTGATATAGATTTAATGAATAAAAAGTAGAGAACTATCGATAATTCATTTTTTTCTGTCATTCCATAGGAACTCCCAAAAAAAAAGATATTATTTTGGTGGTGAGATTCGAACTATGCATAATAGACAGTTTCTGATACAGATTTAATGAATAAAAAATAGAGAACTATCGATAATTCATTTTTTTCTGTCATTCCATAGGAACTCCCAAAAAAAAAAGATATTATTTTGGTGGTGAGATTCGAAGTCAAATATCAATTTTGTGGTAGGTTGGTGTGAAATTATGCTAGGCCAGGTCTGCTATCACACTTTTGTAAATTTTTTTTTCTTTTATTTAGAACTCCTTCTTAACTACTGTCAGGAACTATGGTTTGTAACCATAGATTAAGTGTTTAATGGTTTGATATGTGAGTGTCCATGTTGAAAATTTGTAGTGCCCGACACGAAATTGTTTCAATCACATACCAAGTCATTAAAATCTTAATCCAACAGTTAAGAAAACAATTCATAATGGTAATTAAAAAGGATTGGTAATCACAAATTAAGATAATGGGAGATTTGAAGTGAAGACATAAAATTAAGATAGGAATTAAATTAGCCTAGAATCACAATCGTTTAAATGCTTCTTTTAGGAATTATTAGATATCTCTTATATTTGATTCTGAATATTAGCTATAAACATCTAGCTATTATATTTTGTTTTGATGAATGGTATTTATTATATATGTTATATTTTCTTCGTTTTTTTTTTTATAGGAATTAAATTAGCCTAGAATCACAATCGTTTAAATGCTTCTTTTAGGAATTATTAGATATCTCTTATATTTGATTCTGAATATTAGCTATAAACATCTAGCTATTATATTTTGTTTTGATGAATGGTATTTATTATATATGTTATATTTTCTTCGTTTTTTTTTTCTTTTTTTTTTTTTCACGCAATGCATTTTGCAAGGGCAGCCTATGTGTCCCGACGGGATAGAAAGGTCCTTGTGCATATGATTGATTTGAGAATGAAGCGACATTCTAAACGATGACCACTCATGATTACATAGCTGCCCCTATCACATGTAGTCGTGTTGTGTGTTTTAATTTCCCCTTCAAAGTTAATAATTTGGTTACAATATCATTAAGTGCAAACACAAACCAAATTTGGCAATTATATATCATGCACAGATAATACCAGCCATATACACCATTGGAGGATCAAAAGGGCAAGAAAGAGAGAAAGCCATCGAAGAGTTGAGCGAGTTGCTGGGGGTATTTGAAGAAGGAATCCAGAAAGATTTTCCGGGAAAATCACCTTTCTTTGATGATGATGGTAACGTTAGCTTTCTTGGGATTGTAGTCAACTCGTACGCATGCAGCTATCCAGCTTTCCATGAAGCTGTTGCGATGATCATTTCATCTGAAAAGAACCCAACATTTCTGTCGTGGGTAAATTCTCTTAGGGAATGCCCTTTGATCAAAGAAACGCTTCCTGATCATGACAGATTGGTTGATAGGCTCAAGGCTTTTCAAGCTCGAATACTGTCTTGATGGACTTTTTCAAAATCATTGCTTTTTTTTTTTTTTAAATTTTTTTTACATGCATGGTTCTGTGTATGTGTATAAATAAAGTTTGAATTAAGTCCGGTGCATATGTTAGCTCAATTAGTGTGTTTAGTGGTCGTGTGAGTTGTTTTCAGTGTATTGAGTTTTTCGGTTTAAGTTCTAGAAATAGTTAAAAATAAAAAAGCCCTTTGTGAATATGCACCAGATTTTATTAGAATTTTGTTAATGGAAGATGGATTTGACAAATGCTTTGAGTATATCATTAAGTCAGGTTTAAAGTTCAAATCTGCCAATACAAGTTGTATTTTGTTTTAAGGGCATCAAAATAGTTTCCTGCTGAACAAAAACAAAACAAAACAAAAAAAGTGCGAAACACTTAACGGAAACTGATTCTCTCTTAGTAATGATGTTTATTTATTTATGTTTATGTTTATGATGTTTAAGATAATGTTTCCGCTTTTCGAATTGATGTTCTTCTAGAGTTACTGTCACTTCCAATGGTGTGGCTTCCATTCCTCTGCTTTGGTCGTTTTGTTTGGGGTCGGGACTCCGATTTAATATCGGTCGTTTCGGCAAACGACATTCGTATCATTAGAATATCTTTTTTTGTTTTTGACAACCTTCGACACACATTACCTTTTTCAGAAATTACAGTAAATAACATACTTATAAAACTAAACTAAATAAATAGAATGTTTAGAAATATTTAAAGTAAATAGTAATAAAAATAAATATTTTTTACCACGTAAATTTCTTATTTATAACTTGTGAAAAATTCTTTTACCACATAAATTTTTAATTTATTGATATTTATTTTAAATAGTTTTAAAAGCTATTATTTACTTCATTCTCCCATATATTTTTTTTTCCTTTTTTGGCAAACGACACACGTTGACAGCCTTTAAAGTTTAAATCTATGGGGAACAAATCTTTTTTTCTTTTTTCTTTTTTACTTGAATCTGCCAATAAAGAATTCCATTTTTTTATTCTTTTTTTCACAAAATGGCAAACCGAGGAAAATTGAGCATATTGCACAAGGAAGCCGTGTGACCGGATACGCTCATTCAGATTCTAAATTGAAGGAACAGATTTCAAAGTAATGCTAATATTACACACACCAAACATCAATATATGTTTATTGCAATCTTCACAACACATTAGTAGCCATTATTAATCTACGTGATCCGCAACTTTTATTTGGTCACATAATATAATTATTCCACTAAACCAATACTAGTTCTGTAACGACATAAAATCCTTTGTTAAATATTAATTATTGGGCGCCATAGCCAACATAATCTGCAAATGGAAAGGATGGAGTACACAAAATTTGAATATCTGAAGATACAATTTGTACCTATGTGAGAAATTAACTTGTAGAAACAGGAACTATTAGGCTAACAATTATATGGCAAATAAACTGCCACTCTTATAATTAGTAAAATTTAATTTTATAACCATTTGTCATGTTCAACTAAAAAGTTAGCACATGAACACTTTCTGCAGTATGAGTGCCTTATGCCAACGTATGTTTCTAAACGTTAAATCTAATCATAATCGTATTATTGTAAAACTAAACTTAATATAAATATGACGGTTTAAAGTAGAAATGACGGAGGAAGTATTAATAAGCTGAGATTCAATCTCAGATGAAGGTGGAATCACGTTCCAAGCCTTCAGATCTACAACATCTCAATTGTTAAGAGTCAACAAAATCAGCTCTAAGACCTCACCAACCACCAAACAGAGATTATGAACTCCCTTACAACCAAACGACATCAGAAAAGTATTAGCCAACAATAACATAAAGCAAGAAGCAACAACAAATTAAATACAGCAACACAAACGACAGATTGTATAGCTCTTACATCAAAAAACCCGAGGATAAATATATTGGTCAAATTGTAAAACAGTATAGGGAGTTGAAATTTTACATTTACCTACCTTTTGATCATAGAAGTCAACCCAAAAACGAACTTTGGCTCTCTCAAATGGATCCTCGGGCAAAAGCTTAGGTGTCCCTTTCCAAGTCTCATCAATGTACTCAAGGATGACAAGCGATTCTGTGCTATGGCCTTCCCTTTGTGCAAAAGCACAGGTACTTTCTCGTGGACAGGATTGTGGAGAAGAAGCAGCTCACTTTTGTTGGATAGATCTTCCTCTACGTACTCATAGGGTATGCCCTTAAGTTTAAGGGCCAACTCAACTGATCTCTTGCAATAGCTACTAGCCCATGTCCCGAGCAGTATCACCTCACTTTGCCTCTCTCTCTCTCTCTCTCTCTCCATATATATATATATATGTATGTATGTATGTATGTATGTATGAGATTAGGAATTGGTTTGACGTGTGGATTTGCTTGGTGAGGCCTTATATATATGGTTAAGGTGGGCATGAGATTTCTTGGATTTTATGTTATGAGTTTTGGCGAGTCATTCAATTCAGAGTTGAAAGAGATAATATTCTTAATTAAGGATATGTTAAGAAAGATTTAAGAATCGTAAAAGAAGAGAAAAAGATGGAGATCAAAACTTGGAGAAGAAGTTATTGTTGTTGTTGTTGTTTTTTTTTTTTTTTTTTTTGGGCTTTGTTTTTGTTTTTTTTTTTTTTTTTTTGGGCTTTTGTCAATGGTCCTGTTAGAAAGAATTTAAGAATTCACATCACGTGCCTAATTTCAGTGTCTAGAATGGTGTTAAATTAATTGTGTCCACATCATTTAAAAGTTTAAGATGTCTCTTTAATTAATTTTAACTTGTTTTGATATTTAGATATATTAAAATAACGTGTCCCATTATAATTAGTTAGATACTAATTAATCAGTACATCAAAAATTAAATAACAAATTTAAGTTTAGAATTCAAAAATTTTGAAGGTGATACTGTTTGAGAGTTGATTCATTGTTTTAATTAATCTTCAAAGAACGAATATTGTAAAAGAAGTTTACGATATAGTAAAAGTAAATAAATATTACTTTTAATTGGTGTTGCAATATTTTAAACTATCATAAGTAAATAAATATTACTTTTAATTGGTGTTGCAATATTTTAAACTATCATAAGTAAATAAATATTACTTTTAATGGGTGTTGCACTATTTTAAACTATCATACTTTCGAAGAAATTATTAAATTTATACACTAGTTATTTTTTTGATATGATGTAAATAATATAATCATCACGGATCATCTAATACCATTGTTTCTTTCGAAAAAATAAATAATAAAAAAACATGTGCATTCTTCAAAAAAAAAAAAAAAAGAAAAGAAAAGAAAAGAGGAATGCACATTTCCACATGCCCATTATCGTTTAAGTACTTAACAATACAAAAAACAAGAAATGTTCTTTAGCTCCCATCAAAATCAAATCAGAATAAAAAAGTATAAAAAAGAAATAACTTGAAAGACTTTTTGGATAGCTCATTTTTTCAAACTTACTAGATAGTCTCAAAAAATAAAAGTTAATTTTCATAAATAGTCTTAGGATTTGTTTGGTTCAACAATTTAAAATGTGAAGATTTGAACTTTTTTTATTAGAACTGTAAAATCTGAATTGTAGTGATTTGAATTGTGATTCGAACCGGTGTTTGGATATGTAAATAAATTATAATTTGAATTATGAATAAAATCAGAATTGTGTTTGGATAAAAAGTTGAAAACTGTCATTAGAGTTTTATAACAAATATTATAAAATCTTATTGTAAATGGCATTAAAAAATATGCAATATGAACGGAAATTTGTTCATGTAAAACTCTATATAAAATAATGATAATAATAAAAAACTAACGTCATAATCGCATATCACCTTTGAAAAATGTAAACAAATAAATGAACATGATTTCATATGTATGCAAATTGCAAACAGAACATAACAAATTAAGCGTCTTGGAAATGGTCACCGATTCAAGCGTCTTCAAAATGATCACCAATTTTCTATTTTTAAATTATAACCAGCAATTGCTTCGTGAGGAAGGTAATGGATCTTTTCATGGAATTAAAATTGGGCGCAATGTGGCTTCCATTTCACATCTTATGTTATGACACATTCCTTTTTTGTCGAGCTTCGACTCGAGAATTTTCTGCAATCAGGACTTGCGTAGCTAAGTATGAAGAGCGGTCGGAAATCTAGCCTTATTTTCTCAAATAACTCTTTCGCGAACAGTCAGGCAAGAACTCCTCTCCAGTTCCGGTACGACTGAAGTAGACCGAGGCGCTCGATACTTAGAGAATCCTTTGGTCTTAAGAAGGCGCAGGGGAGAAGATTTTTGGCACATCAAGGATCAAGTCATGAGTAGAATGGAAGGTTAGATGTCTAAGGTCTCGTTCGCTTCGCATATTTGAGTTAGATGTGATATTTTCTGAGAGTTTGTAGCAGAAAAAATTAGATGTGACATTTTCTGATAGCTTGTAGTAGAAAAAATTAGATGTGACATTTTCTAAGAGCTTTTAACAGTAGAAACTTAAAACTGAAAACTCGAATCGGTGAAATGAATAAGGCCTAAATGTCTTTCTAGGGCAGATCGTACCATTCTCATCAAATTAGTGGTGCAAAGCATTCCCTCCGACGCCATGGCTGCATACAAATTGCCTAATTCTTTCTGCTCCGACTTGGATAGTCTAGTCCGTCGGTTTTGGTGGTCTGGGGATGTTCACAAAGCTAGAACGCTTGCTTTACAGAGTTGGGACTCCCTCTGCCAGCCGAAAATGCATGGAGGCTTGGGGTTTAGGCGATTCAAGGCCATCAATGACGCTTTCTTGGCAAAACTGTCTTGGAAAGTAGCTGCTAAAGAAAATACTTTATGGGTGCGAGTCCTTATCAAGGACATTCTCCTAGGGAGAGATTTATTTACCGGAATTCTTGTTTTACTTATTGGGTAGGAGGGAGACGTTTCAATTAGTGCGAAGCCGTGGATCCCATCATGTTTCCCTATACCAGCCACAGCCTTCAAGAGACATGTTTGTGCCTCAGAAAAAGTTTCTAAACCCTTA